GGCCCAAAAGCCCTTTCCTCTGGGCTGGGTGCAGCGGGAGGGATGGTGGCCTGGAAGCCCCTTCCTCTGGGCCAGGAGCAGTGGGATAGTGGCTCAGAAGCCCCTACCTCTGGGCCGGGAGCAGCGGGACTCAGTACCGTGGTCTGGTGGTCCGGTATCCTCTGCGTCTTTGTAGTGTGGAACCAGATGGCTGTACAGAGGAGCGGGGGGTGCGGGGTCCAGTGGATTGTTGCCGGGGCACGGGTTGATTCGGAGTCTTCCCAACACTATGTTTTGATATACATAGGTCAAGCGAAATGACCACCACAGTCAAGGAAATCACACTCATCGTTTCACCCAGTCATGTTGTATGTAGGGGAACTCTCAACAAACTTCCAGTACACAAGGCTGGAATAATCATCCTCCTGCTGCATATTAGCTCTTTAGACTTATTCTTCCTACTTAACAGCAATTTGTACCCTCCAACCTATACCTCCCTATCTTCCCTTCATCCCAATCCTGCCAACCACAATTTTACTCTCTTGCCTATGTATTCAACTTTTTTAGATTCTACACATAAGAGAAATCTCAAAGTCTTTTTTCAGTGCCTGGCTTATTTCACTTAGTATAATGTCCTCTAGACTTACCCATGTTGTCATAAATAATAAGATCTCTTTTTTACGGTTGAATAATATTCCATAATGTATATATGCAATATGATTAAAAATACAATGAGGGCCAGGGATTTAGCTCAGTGGTTCTGCCGCCTGCCTGGCAAGCACAAGGTCCTGAGTTTGGTCCCCAGTACAAAAAAAAAGCAATGAATGTTTACTTTTTTTGTGGTTTTTTTTTGTTTTGTTTTGGGGGGGATTTTTCTGATACCAGGGATCGAACTTGGGTCCTTGCACTTGTGAGGCAGGCGGCAGAACCACTGAGCTAAATCCCTGGCCCTGAATGTTTACTTTTTTAAAAAATGTATTGCAATAAAAAACACATTGCTGCTAATCCCCCTCAAAATACTGCCTCTTGCTTCAAACACACCTCATCGTTCTTGCCACTGTCTCAAGCAGTTCTAGAAGTCCTCTTTAATAAGTGTCTTTAGTTGCACTGTGGTGGTTGCCTCAGTGTCTTGAACTGATTCAAAATGTTTACCTTTCATGGTCATTTTGTTTTTGGAAAATAACAAGAAGTAGCACGAAGTCAGATCCAGTGAATAAGAAGAATAAGGACATGCTGCATGTTTTTACAAGCCTGTCTTTCCATTGGATGGCACTTGACAGCAGCATTCACCATATTTGTGATAAAACATACTCACAGAAGAGAACTTCCAGAACTGCTTCAGAAAGTAACAAGAATGATGAGAATTGTATTCAAAGCAAAGGAGAGTATTTTGAGGGGGACTGATGGCAATGTGACTTTTACTATAATAATTTTTTATTTATACACACACCATATAGTCTGATCTTATATATCACAATTCCTTTATCCACTCATCCATCCATCAATGGACACTTAGGTTTTTTCCATGTCTTGGCTGCTGTGAATGGTGCTTCAAGGAACATGGGCAGGCAGATGTCTCTATGAGTCGCTGATGTCACTTCTGCTGGATGTGTACTTAGCAGTGAGATTGATGGGTCATGTGACAGCCTCATTTTTAGTGTTTTTGAGAACATCATACTGTTTTCCATAATGGTTGGACCAACTTACATTCCTACCAACAGTGTACAGGGGTCCCTTTTCTCCACATCCTCACCATTACTGATTATCTCTCATCTCTTTCAATAAGAGACATCCCAACAGATGTGAGATGTCATCTCATTGTGGTGCATTTTCCTGATAATTAGTTTTGTTTTGGTTTTTGGAACTGGGGATCGAACTCAGGACTTTGCACTTGCAAGGCAGGCACAGCGCCACTGAGCTAAATCCCCACTCAATAATTAGTGATATTGAGTACCTTTTCATATACCTGTTGGCAGTTTTTATATCTTCTTTGGGGAAATGTCTATTCAGGTGCTTTGCCTGGATTTAGTTGGATTATTTTTATTTGATTGGGTTTGTTGTGGTTTTTTGTTTTTGTTTTTGAGTGATGTGAATTCATTATATATTTTGGATAGTAACCCTTTATTAGACATATGAAGCACAATATTTTCCCCAATTCTCAGGCTATACTTTGGTTATTTCGTCTGCTGTGCAGATTTGGTTTGACAAAGTAACACTTGTTTATTTTGCTTATTATTGCCACATGCCTCTGATTTTTCACTATACCCAAGAATTTTTAGTCAGAAAAGATGGTTTTCCTTAGATTTCTTCCCATGAAGCTCTTCCCTTTATTCTATGTCACACTTACTATAGTTGGCTTAAAAAATACTTTCTATGATGATAAAAGTAAAACAAAGTCTTTCTAAAGTCCCACCCAAAAAACAGTTAACCAACAAGGTGATTTCTTCACTCTTCACCCATGGTCCATTGAGATGAGGGAGACAGACATGGAGATAGAGAAGAAAGGGAAGAGTGACGCTTCATGCTTGGTTCAGGAGGGGAGGAAGTCAAGGTGAGCAGGGGTAAACACTGCCTCAGTGTCACCGCACCCAGTTTCATGGGACAGCATTGTCAAACCAACCATCTAGAAAGAAACAAAGATTGGCCCACTTTGTCATTAAATGAATGTCCATTTTAATATTGTTTCTTCCTAAAGTAGAGCTTAGCTCTTTGACATTTTGTGCAATGGCTGACATAATATGGCCCTCTGGTTGACATATATGCTGAATTGTGTCCCCCTGCATCCATACATTCAAACCCTAGTACTTCAGAATGCAACTGTACTTGGAGATAGTGGGTATACTTCCTTCTTTCTTTTTTCTTTTTCTTTCTTTCTTTCTTTCTTTCTTTCTTTCTTTCTTTCTTTCTTTCTTTCTTTTCTTCCAGTGCTGAGAGTAGAGTAGAACCTAGGGCAGTGGTGCTGAACCTTTTAGAGCTTTCAATGATACAAACAGCCCACTGCAGCACCCATGCCATTGGCTTGCTACCGCTGAACGAGGGCCTCACACAGGCTAGGTGAGCATTCTACTGCTGAGACACCCTCTTATCCCCAAGATGGGGTTTTACAGAGATGATTAAGACCAGGTCTTCAGCATGGACACTAAGCCGGTCTGACTGGTGTCCTTATAAGAAGAGGAGATTCAGGATACAGGCTCACTCGGAGGGTCAACCACATGAGCACACCAGAGGAAGATGGTGTCTGTAAGCCAAGGAGAGGAGCCTCGGGAGGAACCCATCCTCCTCCACTTTAATCTCAAACTTCTTGCTTTCAGAATTGTAAGAAAACTAAGTTTTTATTGGTTAATCCCCCAGTATCTTGTACTTTGTATGGTGGCCCTAGCAAATGAGTATAGGAGATATGTTAAAGATCAACTTTGCCTCAGCTAGTCTTAATATAGACAGTATCACCAATGCTTACATTTACATGGAGGCAACACGATCCAGTGGTCATATATTCGCTCTGGTCTGGCCTTGGTTCAGTTCACCAGCTTCATCACTTACTAACAGTGAGGCCTTGGACAAACATTTAACTTCTGCCTCAGCTTACAGATCTGAAAAAATGGATCAGTACTTATCTCACAAAATTGTTATGAGGATTAAATGAATTAGTGTCCTAAAGTACTTAAAATATTGCTTGACCCAATGATTGATGTATAAATATTTAAAATGGTTACAAAGTATAATGGAATTTAGTTTATAAAATCTTTATAAATTCTAATGGGAGGGAGTTGAAGCCAGGGCCTTTTACATTGAGCTATGTGCCTACTCCTTTGGTTTTGTTTTCAATGTTTTACTTTGCATCAGGGTGTCGCTGAGTTACCCAGACTGCCCTTGAGCTTGTGATCCTCCTGCCCTAGCTTTCCAAGTAGCTGGGATTACAGGTGTGTCCCACCACACCTGACTTAACATAGTTTATTAAATTCTATGTATAATAAATAAATAATTAAATAAAAATAAAAAATAAATTATATGTATAAAGAATTCTTGTCATATTTGAGGAAATATGTCATAACATTCAGAGTTTTAACCTGTGCTGCTAGGGGCTGGAGTGTTCAGTTTAGGTTTGTGAGAGAAGAAATGACTGAAATGCACCTTGACAGTGAAGATGGTCACCATGCTTGCATCCTGACAGTAGTGATTGGGAACCATCTCTGGTGAGCATTTTAACATTCTTCTTTCTCTCTTTTCCTTCCTGACCATGAGGTGAGTGATTCTGCTCTGTCTTATGTCCCCACCATAATACGCCATCTCAGGCCCAAAGCCATGGGGCCAACTGATCATGGACCGAAGCCTACAAACCTGTGAGCCAAGATAACCCTTTTTCTCTTTATAAGCTGATTATCTCAGGTGTTTGTTACAGAAAAGGAAAGCTGACTAACACACTGTCTTCCAACCCCCACCAACATCAGTTGCCCCAAGAGTGTCTAGAACGGGTGCTGAAAATGTTCACAGGTGCTGTTTGCATGACTTGCCACAGAGCTGGGGTAAACACTGCTTGATTTTTACAGGTAAAACTTTAACACAGATAAACTCACTCATTGCAGTGGACCACATGATTGTTCTGTGTGTGATGACTAATATAAACAAAGTCGGGCTAATATAAACAAAGTGTGGGCATCCCAGGGTCCAGAAACCAGCGTGTAGATCTTTCTGGAAGGCCAGCCCAGCTGTGATCTGCTCAGGGACCATGAACACCGGAGTAAACTAGATGAGTAGTGACCAGAAGAACCACATGGCTGAATGGGAAGGTGTTTGGTGACTGAGGAATGACAACTCATTGACTTTTAATACTCTACTCAGTTTCTGTCAGGAAATCCTAAAGGTCTATCAACTCTCAAGATAATCATTTGGCCAACAGATTCTTATACAGAAATGTTCAGTCTTGAAAAATGAGTCTTATAAGCCAGTTGGGAAAAGAGGAAAGTATTAGCAGTAGGGAGAGAGCACCTGAGGTAGACTTCAGAGGCTGTTATTCCTCTGGGATCAGACATTGCCTTTCAGACACTGGGAACATTTTTATGAGTGTAAAAATTACTGAAGGAGACTTGAAATATTTTCATTCATGTCAGTTCAATCCACAGAGCTATTAAAATTTTCAAAGCTTTAAGGTACTAAAATGTATATATCATCTGAATGTAAGTATTGGAGTAACTGATAACCTGCCTCTGCCAACAATGGGTGGGGAGGTCGACAGTACTTTATATAGCTTTTATTTATCTAGAACTAAACCACTGCATAACCTCAAATGTCCCCAAAATAGCTTGGAGACATGAAATTTTTTTTTTTAAAAGAGTGAACCTTGGGAAATACTTTCCTGAAACACTTTTCTCGTAGAACTAGCCCTCATACCCTGACTCAGAATACATTGTACACATATCCTTAACCAGTGAGCATCCCACTTTCATGCCATGGCAGTTCAGAAATAGAAAATCAGCAGTCGGGAGAGGATTTCTTACAGCCATACTCACTAACGAGGAACAGCTGCCGTCAGCCCAGGGCCAGGGCAGAGAAGCAGGAGGGAAGCAGACAAACACAAGAATCCCAGAGGCACAGTAACTTGGGGCCCCTTAGCATACAGGCAGATGTCCTGTCCCTGTCCATCTGAATTGCCTACGCCTATGATTTTTATCACATATAGCCCTAGATACGATGATTTCTCACTGTGATGACTTCAAGACCAAAGACAATAAATTAAATTAAGTTCCCCTTACTCTCAGAAAGCAGAAGGGGTAAACTGCATTTTAGAACATTTTCTGCCCCAAATGATTTTTTCCTTTTTTCTTTCCCTCTTTTCTTTCCCCTCTCCATACTTACCCTCCTCTTTTCTCTCTTCTGTCTTTGCTTCCTTTTTCCTTCTTTTGGTGCTTTGAAGCACCTGCTTCAATGTGTCTAGAACTCAGCCCTCCAGAATGGCCATCAAGAGAGCTGCAATTTGCTGTTTTCAGCTCACTGTGTGACTGTAAGGCTTATTGCACAACTGTGTGATCAATATTTATTCATACTCTTTAAGAATCATCTCACGGTTTTTAAATTTCTGAACAGGTGAACTTCTGTTAAAGATACAGCCTACTGGAAAGGAGGAAAAACAGGGGGAAAACACAACTAACAGAAATTTTTAGAAGAGGTTGTCAGAATAAACATTACATCATCAGTGTGGTGGGAGGGAAAAGAGGGTTCCCTTGAGGCATAAACAAAATTTCACAGTATCATTTATTTTTACTTTTAGCCTAGCTCACAGACAGATCTCTAAAACTGCTCATTATCACCAAATGCCCTTTCAAATGCTGAAGAACTGAAAGAAAGAGCTAAGTTACCTCCCTATATGACATATAAGAAATGTCAGCACATGCAGATCTTCCCAAGGAAAGAAAATTTAACTGTAGCAGCTCTGCAGTAAGTTTTATCAGTTGCTTCCTTCCCTTTTCCCACTCACAGTGCACGTGCACACGTGCATGCGCGCGCGCGCACACACACACACACACACACACACACACACACACACACACACATGCAAACATACCCCTTTTAGATTGGGACCTTTGTCCTGCAGGGAATGTATAACTTCAATAGCTGCTCTTCTCTGAAGGCTTCCTGTCATCCGAACCCTGGAAAACCCTATGCTTAATTGTTTCTTGGATCATTGCAGAAATTGAGGATGGAGACAGAGCCGCCTTTTGTTACCTGTTGTGACTAGCAGTGGTCCAGTGGTCATAGGCACACTGCCTATGAGGAAACTGAGGCTCAAGAAATTTGAGTCAAGTTCCCAAGAGAAACATCTTACAAGCAGAGATGGGATTTAAAGAGAGGTTGCTTCTAACTACTGGGCTCTACTACCAGCCAATGAGACTTGAACAGTTATCACTGAAACTGACCCTCATTTTCTAAGGGTCAGGGATGGACTGAGAAAAATGGTACTTGGAATGTAGACACCAGGATGCACTGAGGCCCCTACCTTGCACAAGAGAATTGTGGGCACTCTCGTGTCCCTCAGTAATGGGCACTTGACTTGTCTGAATGGCTTACATGCAGCCCAAATGGCAGGCGCTGGGACTGCCGGCACAACTGCTGTCGGGAGAAGGTCTGTCCCTGTGCCACCCTGGCAACAATGGACCAGCCTATCTAGAATCTTCTCTGCTGGCCAAGGCACTCTGCAACAGTAAGTAAAATATTCACAATCAGATCTGAACTTTTCCAGCAGGACATTCCTTGTGACCAAATCCTATGTGACCTGGGCAGTGTGCTCTTTCATGGGCTGCTTCCAGTCACACAAGTAACAAAAGGCAGCTCTGGCTCCATCCTCAATTTCTGCAAGGATCCAATTATACAGAGATTGGGCCAGGTGATCCCTGAGCCTCTGCCTTCCATTGCTCTGAGGCATTTACAAAATGCAGTGAAGGCAACTGAAAAATAGACATGTGGTGAGAAGGAGAAGGAGAGGAAGAAAGAGACAGAGAGAGAAAGACAGAGACAGAGACTGACTTTGGAAATTATCAGCCTGTCAACTTACCATATGGAGAAATACTGCTGCCATTGATCAAAATATCAAGTTGTCAGCACTGAAACAGAATGCTAAGGAAGTACTAAGTTGTATGTACATACAGTTGTATGACAAACTGAGCCTCGTGGACTAACAGAACTTCCTTCTGAGGCAGTGGCAATTAACAGTGGTAACCATAAGGTCAAGACAGGACCCTTCAAAGACTTTAGGAAGACCTGGTTGAGCATCTGGTCCTAGGTCTTGGACACTTGGGCAAAGGTTAGACTCCTTGGAAGAGAGCTTGGGAAAGTTGCCCAGCCTCTCAGGATATCCCAGAGTTAAGGACATCACAATCATCCAGAACAGGGCTTCTTGCTTATCATTGTTGACTGTGGTCCCGACTCTAGGCACAAATTCATTGGCAGCACACAGTGAGTAGTTGATTGAATAATAAGTTCTCTGTAAACAACGCTTTGTTGATTGAGTCATTAATACTTGAAAATAGTGTTTAATTATATTTCACCTTACTATACTAAAGCTAAAATACCATCTGCACATTTCTGATTTATGGGGAAATAGCTATTATTCTAAAGGAATGTATATGATACTATAACCTTCAAAACCATTGATATTTTAATATTAAAAGCAATGTGGGGGATGGGGATTTAGCACAGTAGTGCCATGCCTGCCTTGCAAGAGCAAGATCCTGAGTTCGATCCCTGGTACCCCCCCAAAAAAGCAATGTAGGTTCATTGCTTAAACTACAGAATATAAATTAGAAAGAATTGCCTCTAATCTCATAATTCCTCTACTTAGGTACAATGAGTTAACATTTTAGTGTAGTTTCTTCCAATTTTTTCATAGATATATACATATATATGCACAGATTCATATATATTTAAAATTAAAATTACATGGAATATATGGCTGTCTTCCTTTTTCACAGAATGTTACAGATGGAACATTTTCATTGATCAACAACTAACTCTGAAAATATGATTTTTACATATCTACATAGCGTTCTATCATATGGATGGACTATGATTTACTTAGCTGTTTCCTTATGTTTGTATGTTGGGTTTATTTCCAACTTTTCCTGTATTATAAAGAATGCTTCATAGAATATGCTCATTCATAAATCATTCTGAACACTTTCGATCATTTTTCTTAGGACATATCTAGAAGCAGATTACTAGACAAGGAAATATAAACATTGTTATGGTTCTTGTTACATACTTCTTAAGATGTTTATAAAACATTTAAGGATTAAAGTCTAAAAGAAGTTACAGAAATAACAGGTTTGGTTTGGTTTTAGCACTGTTGCCTCCTGTCATTCAGGCAAGACTGGTCAACATGTTGGCTACCTTCAGGGTTATAATCTTGCTCATGTTTGTTACCTGCATTTCAGGAGCCCTCACCCAGAGAAGGCTCTGTCATGGACAGCCTCCAGTGCTTCGCCTACCCCTAAGGCCTAAGGTCCATGTTTCTAGGATGCCATGACTGCACTTTGCAAAACCAGGACTTGCTCTGGGGGATTTGTTTCGAGGCTGGAATACACACTACAATCAAAGGCCTAGTGTGTAAGACCAGCAAGGAAAAATAGACAAGAAAGATTGAGGCCACTGAATTAAAAATCCTAAATTGTTTCCTGCCCTTTGTCTTTTTATATAGCTCTTTCTAGCATCCTAGTAGATTTCAGAAGTATCAAGAGTCATGCTAGCCCCAGAAAAGGCTGTTGATTAAAAAATATATAATGATCATTTTGAATATGGTGTTCAATTATATGCAATGATGACTTTACATTAGGCTTACTTCAACTGTTTCTTTTATGAAGTAAAAAGCTAAGCTTGTTGTTTATCTTTAAAAAGTAGCTGTAATTCTTAACTGTATCACAGCAGTTTTTGCCTCTTTTCTTCTGAAAACTTACTTTGCAATGAGCACAGAATATATTCATATTAATCATAAATATCCCCCTCCCCTCCTTTCCAGGTAAATAGAATTTTAATTATTAGGGTAGATGGATTATCTTAAGTACTTCTCATTATACTTTTTTATGTCCTATTTCCCTAACTTGCTTTACTGTTTTCTTTGTATTTTATATTATGCCAAATATATTCTGAAAAATTTATGCAAAATAATTACCAGTAGAGACACCAAATATATTCCCATGTTTCAAGAACTTCGATATAAACAAGTCTCTGCTGACAGAATCATAGGGTCAGAGAAAAGAAAAAAATGGATTTAGCTGGCTGGGACCTTGGGATAGAAAACCCAATTCCTTTGTTTGGATCAAAAAAAAAAAAAAAAAGACAGCAGCTCAAAGACGTGAAATGGCTTTTTGGAGTCTTGTTTTTGTTATTGATCCAAGAATACAGAATAGAAAAAATAATAGACATAACATCTTAATTCTTTACAGCCCTTTACAGTTTATGAAACACTTTCATGTCCCGTGTTAAAAGGTACTGCAATTCTGAGCTTCAGCAAACAAAACTCTCACGTGCTCTCTCCATGAGACCCACGTGGCTGATTTCACATTTGTTGCCAATGGAGTCTCCAAAGACATTTAAGGGGAACTCTCATAGGAAACAAAAGGCTACCACATCATGTGGGTCAGTTCAAAATGGAGAGTAACATATCTTGCCCTAAAAGTAGGAAACTAGAGCTACGTCTAACTAGTATCAGAGGGATTTTTTTCTGATTTTTAAACAACTTGTCACTGGTCACATCTGCTACTTGGGGCTCCAAGGATCAAATTAAATCTCAAAGAAACTCAAGGCTGTGTCTTTCAATGTCCCCGTGTGGATTTCTCCACTGAAAAGCACTGGAGTAGGTGTCTTTGCCAGCTGTGTCTTCATGGAAGATGACGGCAAATGCCTGTGTGACATCATACAATAAACTACAATACTCATCTGAAAGCTTTCACAGTCATTCATTCAGATTTCCCAAATTTACAGAGCACAGAGGAGGGAGGCAGAGGAAAACAAGGTGTGGCCACTGTCTCCAACTCAGTGGGCAGGTGCTCATCCCAGCCACATCTGTGGGAGTGTCCTGAATCCTTGGAGAGCTGGCCTTTTTTTTTTTTTTTCTGGCACCAGGAATTGAACTCAGGGCCTCATGCTTGCCTGGCAGGCACTGTGCTGCTGAGCTACATCCTCAGCCCTAACTTCTATAGATGATGTCAGTCTGTTATGACTGTTGGGGTCGGCTCTTTTGTGACCTCCTCCTCTGGGTACTGGGTTATAGAGTCATGCATTTACTCCTCAGTAGGGTGTATTTGTTTCCTGTGCTTGCCACAACAAATTACCACAAACTGGGTGGTTTTAAAGCAACAGAAATTTCTTCTCAGTTCTTGAGGCCAGAAGTCTGAACAAGGCATTAGCAAGGCTGTATTTATTCCGAAGGCCCCGGGGGGAAAATCCAACCTTCACCTTTCTTTTCACTCCTACTGTTGCTGGCCATCCCTGACAGTTTTGGGCTTGTAGATGCATCCCTCCAATCCATCTCCATTGTCACATGGTGCCCTCCTTGTGTCTCTCTCTCTCAAGGATACCAGCCCCATTGATTGGGCCCACCCTAGCTCAGTGCTGTCTCATCTTTGCTTGATTACATCTATAAGACCCTATTTCCAAATAAAGTCACATTTGCAGCTACCATGGGTGAGATCTTACACTGACCTTTATGGGCGGCACAGAGATTTGATCCATCCAGGGCCCTTTCTCAGGACAGACAACAAAGTCTCCCTTGGAGTGGCAGGCTTCAGACCCACATGGCTGTGTTCGAGGGGAAAGTGGAAAGAGCAAGCCACAGAGGGTTAAAATAATGTGGCATGAGTTTCCAGGTGTAAGAAGACAGAAGAGCCTAAAGTGGACCTTCAAGGAAGTGACATTTCCTGTGTCCCTCTCTTTCATCTTTATGTGTCTATCTTTCATGCTAATGTCTCTCTCTCCTTGTTCCAGTGAAGCGGCAAAGAGAGTAAAAGTGCTGAGCTTCTGCCATAAATCCAGTGCTGCACAGCGCCCCATCCATTTGGACCACTCACTGTCCATCCTCTGTGGCAGCGGTCATAGCCACTGTGCTGATAGACTCTGTTTGCTACTCTTGATTGAGTCTGAGTGACCTCCTGATAAAGCTTTCCTTTAGGCCGCAAAGTGCGCATCTCCTTTCCATTTCAATCATCTGCATCATAAGTGTTTTCCACTTAATGAGCACACACAGCCATGAACAATCCAGTGTGACTTGTAGCACTGTTATCACGAGCATCAGTTGGAAGGATGGCCAAAAAATCTCACCTGGAAAAGCACAGGACAGTGAGCATCTGTGCTCCATGCACCCAACTGCACCGAGACCCTTCTGCACTAATGAGCAGGGCAGGCAGCTTGCTCCAGCACAGCTCAGTCACCCTGCATTCCCCAGGCAAGGTGCTGCTCCCATCAGGAGCTAAAGTCTTCCTGGAAAAGGAGAGCTGCTTTTCTCTCCCTGTTGGCCACCGCCCACTGGAGAGGTAGAAATTGTTAAAGATATGTTTATCATAGTCCCTGCCCCAGTAACAAATCACCTAATGTGAAATGCAGGGACAAAACAAGTATGTAAAGAACTTTCAGGAAACTAAACAAGTATGATAAAAATCTTTGGATTATATACAGGCAAAAGGAAACTGCATTTTCTGACAAATGAATACAAGTTGTAAGTGAGCCTTTGGGGGAGGAATAACCATCTTTCCTCCAAATTTCCAGAAACTTGGTGAAGAAATTTTTTTAATCCTTACACCCTAATTAGTTTAGTAACAAATGATGAGCATAGTCAAGACTGTTGAAAGTAAGAGAAACAGAACTCAAATAAAGGGCAATATATTTATTCATTATCTAAAAATATTCAGAACAGTTCCAGATATTCAAACAATGTCTTCAGACTTATTCTACAGGCTTCTGTTTTGCCTTCCTCTCCCAATTTCATTCTCAAGAAGGTAATCCTTTTTTTATTTTTTTTATTTTTTTTGACAAGATGTCCAACAGAAGTTCTGGGCTAATTTTCTGGAGCCAAGAAGAGAATTTCTCTTTTCCAGTACATATAGCCTAGTAGACGCCAACCGTAGGCTCACAGCCTCGCCTCTGACAGTCTCCTCAGTAACATCTGCTCACTCCTGAAGCATCAGCCTACTGAACCCTCTTGTTGGCCACTTATGAACCTTGTGATCTGTCCTGGGCTGCTGTAAGAGTCAACTCCACCAGAACCCAGGGACTGCGGGGCAGGGGGGGGGGGGCCTCCCTAAAGAGAACTAGGGTCCTGCTCTCATGGGAAGAAATGAGTGTTGGGCAGACAAAAGCAACAAATACCATGACATGGAACAAAAATAAATGTACATTGCTACAGGATTCTCATTAAGAACTTTAAAATCATTCCCAGCTTTATAAAGTAATTTTTAAAAGGTCAACTACCTGGGTCTTTCATAGAATTTATGATTGCTTTGACCTAGTATGCAGGTCAACAAAAAATTCTTTGTACCTCTTACCAATAATGGTTGGCCAGGAACATTTCCTGTTAATTCCTACTTTAGAATATTGCATAAGTCCTTATTTCAGAAATAAACAAATATAGATTAAAAACAAACCAAAAAACTCAAAAAGTGTTCTGGTGAAAGTTTTCTATATTCACATCACATTTTTTTTAGCAAGAAAGACTATCTGGCTAAATAATAATTTAGATTTTAAAAAAGAAAAAATAGCAATAGCTATTTATAATAAATACAAAGAGATAATAAGAAAAGATAAAATTTAAAAAAGTAGCCATTCACTTGTTGCAAATGCAAAGAAGACATATAAAAAGAAGTCTTTCATGGGGTAGATTTTGCCATTTTCTAGAAAGAAACTATAATGTTTATTTTTAGTTCTCATTTTTTTCTCAACTCAAAATTTTAATAGTCACTGTGACTTATATTTGATTTGCTGGATTCTTGACAATGGCTAAATTTAATTCTTCCACTTTTCCTTCATTATAATGAGCCCTGATTTTTTAAAATCTACTAATATTGTAATTTAAAAACCAACTTGTATTAAAAGAAAGAAGTCTCAAGGAAAATTTTAAACAATTCAGTGGAAAAGCTAAAGCAGTGCTGTTAGGGAAATTAATAGCCATAAAATGCTTACGTAAGAAAAGAGGAAAGTCTCAAATGAATAATCTAAGTTCTTATGTCAAGAAACTGGAAAAAGAGCAGCAAAATAAAGTCAAGGCAAGCAGAAACAAAGGAATAATTCAGTTAAGAGCAGAAACCAATAAAATTAAAATCAGGAAATGTAGGGAATCAATATAAAAAGTGAGACTTTGGAAAAATTTATAAAATCAATAAACTTCTAGTGAGACTGACAAAAATAAAAATAGAGAAGATACAAATCACCACTATCAGGAACAAAACAGGGTGACTATAGATCTTGCAGACAGCGAAAGTGTTTTAAATTTGAGAACCTAAAGAAATGGATCAATTCTTTGAAAGTTACAAACTACCAAAACTCAATTGAGACGAAATAAGCAAACTGACTAGTCCTGTGACCTTTAAAGACACTGAATTTTTAATTAGAAAGCTTAGGAAAAAGAAATTTCCCAATTCATTATACTTTCACTAGAGAAGTCTAACAAACATTTAAAGAAGAATTAAAATCAAATGTACACAATCTCCTCTAAAACAACAGAAGGAGGGCTAAAGATGTAGCTGAGTCATACAGTACTTAGCATGCATAAATCACTAGCTCTGAGAAGGATAAAGAAGAGAAAGAGGAAGAAAAGGAGGAGGAGGAAGAAGAGGAGGGAGAAAAGGAAAAGGACAAGGACAATGTCTTAATTACTTTCTCATCACTAAGACAAAATACCCAACAACCACAGCTATAAGAAGGAAAGGTTATTTTGGTTCATAGTTTGTAGAGGTTTCAGTCCATCATTACCTGGCTCCAAGGCAGGGCATGACAGAGGACAAAAAGCTCATGGTGGCAGGAAGGGGGGGGGGGGAGAGGGAGAGATATCAAGGGAGGAGAAAGGGAGATATATTCTTCCAGGCCACACCCACAGTGACCCACCTCCTCCAACCAAGTTTCACCCCTCAACATCACTCACATTTAGCTGTAAACTCATCAGTGAAATAATCCTATGACCCAGTCACTTCCCCAAAGCCTCACTTATGCATGCATAAGACTTTGGGAGGACATCTAGATATAAATCATAACAGAAGAGAAGAAGAAAGAGGAAGAAGAGGACAATGAGGACAGGAAGGAGAGAAGGGGAGAGGAAGGAAGGAGAGAAGGAAGTTAAGGAGGGGGAGGGGGAGGAAGCAACATTTTCCAAATCATTTAAGTAGGCTAGTATTACCCTGACACAAAAGCAAGACAAAAATAATATTAAGAGAAAAAGAAAAAAATACAGATCTATTTCTTTCATGAAGCTATAAACAAAAAAAATCATGATCATAATCAAGAAGGATCTGACAAAATCCAACCCTTATTCATAAAAATTCTCAGAATTAAGAATATAAAAAAATACTCAACTTGGTAAAGAACATCCACAAATAAATCAAACAAAAAACCTACAGCTAACATCATACCTAATGCTAAAAGACTGACTGGGGAAATAAAGCAGGGATGCTCACCACTATTACCAATCTTATTTAATATTGTACTGAAGTTTGGGGCATTGCAATAAGGGAAGAAAAAGAAATGAAAGTTATTGACTGGACGAGAAGAAATAAAACTGCTGCTATATGGACATGGCATGGATGTCTGCAGAGAAAATCCCAAGGAACCTTCAAATAAAAGTCCTAGAACAAATAAGTGAGTTCAGAAAGTTTTCAGTATACAAATCAACACACAAATATCAATTCTATACACTAACAATAAACATTTTTTAAATAAAGCCTAAAATGCAATACATTAAACCATTCCAAAGAAAAAAATCTTATAGATAAATCATGATCAGGATTTGCATGATATGAATTATAAAATGTTAATGAAGAATTCTAAGTTTAAAAAATTAGTAAATGATATATTGTGCTCATGAGTTGAAATATTCAACATAGTAAAGATGTCACTTGTCTTTAAATTAGCTTATGGACAGTTTCTATAAAAATCCTAGAAGACTATTTGTAGACATAGGTAAACTTATTCTCAAATTAACATGTAAAAGCACAGAACCAAGAACGGTTAAAACAACCTTGAGAAACAATACTTAAAACAATCTTAAGAGAATGTAAAGTTATCAATTTATCCACCTGATGCTAAGGCCTCCTACAGTTATAGTAATCAAGACAGTATGATATTAATGGAGAAACAGACACACAATCAGTGAAACAGAGTAGAGTTCCCACACAAATATGCACACAACTGGTTTTTTTTGACAAAGGTAAAGTAGCAATTTAATAGTGGAAGGACAGTCTTTTCAGCAAATGGTGCTAGAGCAACTGACCATCCATAAGCGAAAAACTGAACTTCAGCCATAACCTCATACCTTATTTAGAAATTAACTCAAGATGATTAACAGACTTAAGTGGAAGACACAAATCTTTAAAGCTTTCAGATAAAAAATACAAAAAATTTTTGAAAGCTAAAGCTAGGCAAAAAATTCTGAAGTTTGACACCAAAAGCATGATCCATAAAAGAAAAACCTGATCTGCTGGACTTCATCAAAATGATCAACTTTTGCTCTGCAAAATAATCTGCTAAGAAGATGAAAAGACAAGCTACAGACTGGAAGAAAATATTTGCAAAAACTTTTACTAAAATGTTTATAATAGCATTATTTAGAATAGCCAAAACCTGGAAACAACTCAGATATTCTTATATGGATGAATGGTAAACAGACTAGTACAACCACACCATGCAACTCTGCTTAGCAAAAATAAGGAGCAAACTAGTAATACACACAACAGCCTGGATGAATCTTAAGGGAATTATGCAAGGGGGAAGAAAAACCCTGCATACTGTTTGATGTCAAAAGTTTGCATACTATATGATGTCATTTATATGACATTCTTGAGATGAAAAAATTCTAAAAATGGAGAACAGATTCATGGTTGTCAGAGGTCAGGAAGGGGTCTGGAGGAAGGAGGTAGGCGAGGGTGTAAAAGGATGACATGAGGATTGCTTACAGAGAGGGAAATGTTCTGTATCTAAATTATTATCAGTGTCAATATCCTGACTGCGATATTATACAATAGATTTGTAAAATGTTATTATTAGGGAAATGGGGTAAAGGATGCACAGGGTCTCTGCATTATTTCTTATGGTAGCAGGTGAATCTACACCATCAATACAAAAAGTTTAAATTTAAAAATCAATTTAAGCCAGATGTGGTGACACACACCTGTAATCCCAACTATTCAAAGAGAACCAAAAGTTCAAGCCCAGATTGGACAACTTAGAGAGATCTGACCTCAAAATGAAGATAAATAATAAATAAATGGGGCTGGGGATATAGCCCAGTAGAAAAGCATTTGCCTAGCAAGCATGAGGCCGTGGACTGCAAAAAAAATCAATTTATATAAAGGAAGTATTGATACTAAAACATAAAGCCCAATGCCTTAATAAACTATTAGAAGTACATAAAAAGTAACCAAGAGTATATTTGCAAACTCCATGGACAAATATCTTTAGATCCTATTAATTGGTAGTGACTTCCCCTATGAGGTCATTCCTCTATTGAACAGATATTTCAGAACACAGTGCTTTCAGTCCAAGGTTGGTTGAATCTACAGATGCAGAATCCATGGACATGGAACCCATGGACTTAGAGCCCAGAAGACATGCACTCCAAGGTTATGGAGCCTAGGGACATGGAACTCATGTTGTGGATCCCATGGACAGAGAGGGCCAACTGCACTAAAACTTCAGACTGGAGTAGGAGGTTAGAGCAGAAGGGGAGGCAGAGAGCAAACACATGAAGTGAATACACAGGAGAAGTTCCTTAGGCACAAGATATTACTTCAAGTCTAAGTGAGGAGGCTATCCAAGTGGCAAAAGACACATACAGGATTAGTAACAAGTGTCCTGGAGATGGTCACAATGAAGCTATGGTGATAACAACCTCCATGGAATAGGGGGGTGTGCAGGGCAATTCCTATGAATCCTGAAGTCTGGCCATGAGCAGCACAGGAACTGGTGGTCTTAGAAACTCCTGCTTCAGTCCCTCCTAGAAATATCTGGGGATGGGGGGTGGGGTGCAGGGTTGGTCATCTTGGTGTTTGCTTTCAGTTCCTAAGAGAAAAACATCATCCAGGTAGAAGGTCTGTAATGTGTCTCATTTTCCTCCTCCTCCTCCTCCTCCTCCTCCTCTTCCTCCTTTGTCCTCCTTCTCTTCCTCTTCCTCTTTATCTTCCTCTTCTTCTTCTTCTTAAATC